CTATCCTAATTATTCCCATCGATATTCCGCTAAAACTTGACCGTAGGCGGTCGACGGATGTAGCTGAGGTCAACGCGGGAAAAACCGTCACGACTTAATTACATCAGACAAGTTATTTGTTACACAAACATGGAAAAATCGGTTACGGGTCGTGTGTTCCGGTAAACAACCAGGTAAATTGATCCGAACAAATTGTTCTGATGTAGAGTAAACAATCCCCGTAGGGAGATTCACCTGCTGAGGGCAGAAAATTAGGCCATCTGGAATGGTTAATGGCTAAATCAAGCACGTTATTTGAAAAAGGGAACCTAGAATGAGTCAGGATTGATTCGAGCGCTGTGACAAGAAAATGCACTTTTAGTTCTTTCGAAGTTTTAGGGAATCTACGTTGAAAAGTACTGCTTCGAACGGAAGCAGTCCAAGCGGCCGAAGATTGAATTAACAAGGCGGATGCATTTAAATGCTAAATTTAGTTAACAGGTGCCAACGATGGCTGATTGAATTAATTCGGTCAGGCATTGGTGTTAAGCAGACGAATGCTTTCAGTCTCTTCCAAGCTTTCATTAACAGCACATACCCTATAAGGTGACCTTTCTTTCCTTTGTGGAAAATGCAGATTTTATTGTGCAATCTGTGAGGGATACGAATATCGCAATGTCTGTGCCGGTAAACTACATTAAGTCGTTAGCAAACAACCTAACTAAATTTTGAAACACTCTTAGGACGCCGTCGAGACTATATTCGGATAGATTAGACTCACAAAATGTTGTACGGGGTGAAAATCAAGGCAATAAAACAGTATAGGTGTCGTTCGTATATAAAACTTCTCGAAAAATTTGGAAAAACGCGCTTGAAAGCATTACTCAAAAGATTTTACACTAAATCCACCACATTAATTGGCCAGCATAATATACGGCTGGCCCGGGTGGAGCAGACATTTCCCCAGGAGCACGGGAAACTAATTAAGTCGTTAGCAAACAACCTAACTAAATTTTGAAACACTCTTAGGACGCCGTCGAGACTATATTCGGATAGATTAGACTCACAAAATGTTGTACGGGGTGAAAATCAAGGCAATAAAACAGTATAGGTGTCGTTCGTATATAAAACTTCTCGAAAAGTTTGGAAAAACGCGCTTGAAAGCATTACTCAAAAGATTCTACACTAAATGCACCATATTAATTGGCCAGCATAATATACGGCTGGCCCGGGTGGAGCAGACATTTCCCCAGGAGCAAGTAACATGCAGCAAGTGCCTGGGGAACTCGGCAGTCACCTCCTCTCTTCTTTCTATATATAGAATAATGGTAGTAGATATTTTCAGGCTAGTACCTTTGACTAAATGCAATGCTATTTCTAAGGCCTCCCGATCTTCATGAGGACAACAGAATGATCTATGGTAGTCCAGATGGTCCTGACCCCACCTAAACCTGCCACCTCGACACGATGGTCGGCTTGAGTGCGAGCTACACTGAATGGAACTTCGTACAATAGTGTCAGGAACGCCAAATGGGAGTACTCAGACTAGGAGCGGCGAAACCTCATACTACGAGTCATCGCGTTACGAGGCGGTCTGGGGGATAAAATCGTACTGTCCTCAGTGATGGGATTGTGAAGGCAGTATGATGTTTCCCCCAGGCGACCAGCATGTTCATATTCATGGAAGCAGCGACGCTGCCTTCTCCCGAGGAAGGACGGTTTAGAAGAGAACAGCCTTAAAAACCGCACACTCTGACAGCCCAACGACGACTAATGGCGCATTATTCAATACGGTTGGAATACTTCTGAAACCAGAGTTCGGTGCCGTTCAAAAGCCACCTGCTGTGCACAACCACATCGGGAGCAAGATAGCGATGCCTTACTCCCTGTGCCCTCGGGTTGGGCCAACCCCCTGAAGCCGAGCTGGCCAGACCATTAACTCATCGGCTCCGAGAAAAGTTCCCAAACAAAACCCTACACCCTCCCATTGTCTTATGTGCGTCAAACTTCTGATCCAGAGGCTCAAGGTGGGGTACCTCAACCAAACCCTCTTCCTCGGCCTGGGCAACCGGGAAGTATTATTTGCCTGCGCAGGTCGGCGTCCACCGATATGCCTTCCCACCATACAAGCAAACGTCGCTGGATCAGCCATCTGACCGAAAGGCCTTATGCTCCCCGATGCCCATTAGCAATAAACAAACCAACATATCGTTATATCCATGAAGTTATTTCTACATTTGAGCTTATAACGTCCGTACTCTATGCCTAATTGACAAATAGACAATGCTTGCTGAAACCTTTTCTCCCTTAAAACTGATGTATGCTGTGTCTGCGAAACAAGCATAAAAGACCCACGCGTGATTAATCATTTCAGAACGCCAACGACGAACTCAGGTCTTTCACATTTCTCGCTCCGTGTGTCCGGTGACCCGGAAGCGATGACCCGTGGAATATGGCGTGGGAGTTGCAACTAGCCCCCGAGCTGAATTGGATTCCAGAGAACAGTCGTCTTTGTGCTGTCCGGTTACTCAGTTCAATCAAGCTCGAATGAATAGCATCACAACTTGAAGTGAAAAGGCGACTTCAAGATAGCGGACACTCAATGGGTTTAATAAAGCAGAAACTAAGATGGGTATTGGTACTAACACGAAGACCCAACAAGGAGTGGATCGGAACAGCAGTCATTCCATAGGAAACAGGGCATCTGAAGTCATTAGAAGGGTACTGAATACGGATAAGATTAGAGTAGCATTCCAGAAGGGAAAGACTTTGCGCTCAGTGTTGGCGTAGTTAAAGGATCGCCTTCCGGTTAATAGGACTAGAAAGTGCGAGTACAAAATAAAATGTAACGACTGTATAAAGGCTTACATAGGACAGATAGCCAGGGTATCGCACACCAGAATCGGTGTGCATAAGCGATGCATGAACAGACCACCGAGAAACGTAGATGGATATCAGTGACTTGGCAGCGAAGTATGAAAGCCAGTACCAGCAAATTCAGTTGCGTTGGTTATTGCCGTCTCCCTGGATGGGGACCCCGAGACGGGCCACATCAATGGTTAGAAACATTACTAGAAATGACGCATTCGCTCCCACAATGGCGCTGATGCATCCAAATTTTTGGCTTCCGATGCGTGGCTTTCTTCCCAATCTCCACAATTAAAAGCCGACTGATAACCATCAATTATACCAGCTACCAGTCACCTATCCCATCCCCCAAAATCATACGTGAACGAAACTGTGGCAGCCAGAAACACAGTACGGCAAGTATACAGTGCTTAAAGCTGACGATGGTGATGAACTGGTCCAGGAATTCACAGAAAAGCCGAAATATCCAAGTTGCCCAAAAATCGTACTGCACCGATGAGGGACATTTTTCGAAAGAGAAACAATTTTGGCGGCGAGTGATTTTCCAATTACGGTATGATCAAGCAGATCCCTCGGAGAGGAATTCTATTTCTGGTTGACTCACTCACCAAGGGGAAGTTACCAAAGTGGCTCTCCTAAAAAGGAATAGCCATGAGACGCGGTTAAAGTGACCCCTTCCGGAAGATTGAATAGCCTGTGTAAGTTTGGGAGAACATGCCGTATCTGCCTGAGTCTCATTTTATTCTTTCTCTCTCTCTGGTTATATCCATGTAAAATATTATCTCCTGGCGACAAATATGGACGGACGTAGGTGGGCACAATTCGACAGAACTACATGCTGGCGAAATTAGCCTCAATCGTCTACCCCATATCGTTTTGCATACTGGTCTTATCATATTGAGCATAAGGAAGGAAACTATCTGTCAACCGGCCTGAAACTGGTACCGCAGCACGAGCAGGCGAGATGTACTTGCAATAACGTTTTGTAAAATAGGTTGTGCCTGCGTGGTATTATGCATCTGTGAATCGCACATCTAAACAGAATAAGCCGGTCTCCACTCAGATGCTTCCTAATAGGCAGTTAACACTTGAAAAGCATAACTTTATTGGCCTACTACAACCGTTGTGCCCTAATGCCTCCGTCACAGAAGTTGGCGGTAAGATAAAATCCTGATTCAGACGACCCGAATGCTTAGGACAGATGAGCACGGTTAGCCTGTCCTCATAATGGAGAGTAGGTTCGAACTTCCTTCTTGGATGTCCAATGCAGTTCACTTTTATCAAAGCCAATGCTGTGTACTCCGTACCTTAAAGAGTGCAGCCATGTGTGCTTTCCAGTCAGTGATCAACTATAGCACCTAGTGTCTTTTCTGGCGTTAAGGCTACACAATCCGACTCATGAGTGGACTGCAAGTCGATGTTCGATCTAAGCTCACATGATCTATACGTGTGCCTTCTAGAATCAATAGGCGACAACATTAAAACTCTTTGTTTCTCATTTTAGCAGGGTGGGACAGCTAGATCCAATGGATCATGCGACCGTTACAATAAGAATTGGAGGTAGCAAATGTGGCATCAGAGGAGGTGATGCAATTAGAATCATATTCGCCCTAAATCATGTTGTTTCGAGGTTCTTATTGGAATTTGGCCAGACATATCGTAGGTGGCAGGCACCAAAGGTTAATGTGGCGCCACATCGTACTCGGTTTCCTACAGTCTTTTAACGACTCTTTTTCTTCCTCAAAGACCTGTTTGAATCGGTTCCACTGTTCCACGTTCTAGTTTATCATCCGTCTGGTTTTGTTTACACAAAGGCGTGGTTGAATCTGCCACGGGTCTCCTATGAAGATCAAAAGGTCCATGTAGCAGAAGAGAACGCATTAAAGAACACGTGTGGGGAAATTGACAGGACACTACACTGATGCCCAAAACGGCATCGGATACTGGGAGAAAAGCACAACAATAGAATACGGATAAGGCTAACCCACGGGACAAAACCAGGATCTCCATGGTCGATATCCAACTGACACACAAAATAACGAAGACTCAATGTTACAGACCAATTGTGCTGGTATACAGTGTGAACACGTGAGCGCTGAATAACGTGCAGAAGTGTTTAGCCTGGCGCGAATTCCAGGACAGACCTAACTACCCCTACATCACCCACAGTTACCCATGGCTGTAGTGTGGTTAGTTGGTGTGTGACAAAAACAGTGAAAATGCAAAAAGTGCCATTTCCCGCCTCTGCGGGTGAATGTGATAGGCTGGATAAACGACAGACAGCAATGTCACTAACAGAACATCCGCCCTCAAAGGGTAGCAGGTATGACATTGGTTTGTTCGCTGCCAGCATCCCAAATAGGATTGATTATTCATAGAAAATGACATAAGCGAAGCTGTGCGAAGAAAATACACCAGTCTATCACAGCAAACGTATCTCGTGACAACCACACGCCGTCCGTAGTCCTTCTTTTAGAAACAGAGGCTAAACACTGTAACGTTGAGTGAAGGTGCGAATGACAGCTGGAACAATCAGGCACGTGATGAGCCAACCTAAGCACTGAATGTAGCCACAATCGCATTTTGGAGGGGGACAGAAACTAACACGGAATGTGCCTACATTCCAAATAATGACTAGCGCTGTTTTGTACACAAGGACACAGATCGATGATCGGGCACCGTAATCCCTCGTGAGGGATGTCATCCCCAGCAGGGGCCAAAACCCTGTGGTCTGTTCCGTTTGAAAGAATAACTTGCTCACATTGGAGAATAGTCTCCAGGATACTCGATATGAAAGAAACAACCTCCGTTGCGTTTTGAAACGGAACACAAGCTTATTTAAACAGGACATTTTTAAGCAATAAATCGAAGTTGATTTCCTCTGAAAAATATAATTCACCCATCCCTTAGCCCAAGCCACAAATTGTGGATTCAGGCAGTCCGTTTTTTCCAGTAACAAGCCGAAATCCGATGTAACAGCATTGTGCTCATGTTGAGTTTGCAGTCACCAAAGATATTCGTACCCAAAATGTCACCTAAACGTCCACAGTGTAGGCAACGAAAAAAGTTGGGACAGACACCGCAACCACCACCACCACCATCACAACGGTCAAGTGTGTCCCAGGAAGAAAAACGGGAAGTTGTACGAAGAAAACGACGAACATTGATAAAACGAACATTAGGAAATTATGTTGGAATTCGATAGATGCCAATGGTATTCGAATTCAGCACAGATCGGACTATGCTGGATGGAGTGTGCTATCGAATGGCAGAACCGAGCAACACGCAAAATTATCGAGAAATTGATATGGCAGAACGTGAAACAAGCATATCATATTGTTGTAAGGGCTAAAAGTCGACAAGAGACGAACCAACGTAGCCAATTTGAATAGCCAGCTTGGTGAGCTTCGCTTGGAGTACTGACTGTTCCTTTCGGCGAGACTTTGTCGGCTTGGTCGCCTTTTCGCCCTTGTTGACACCCACTGCCTTGTCCGCGGGCACACTACCATCCAATGTGGGAGTACTTTTGTCGTTTGACTTTGTTGCATTCGTGTCTTTCTTGTCCTTTTTGCCTTCAAGAAAAAACAGGGGGACAACGAAATCAATGTTTTCGAGTAGCCACCGGTATCAATGACTAGGTGAGAAATTCATTGAAGAATGTGGCGACCCACATCGATTGAGTAGTTGGTCAGATTAATCGCGAATAGTAAATTGGGCTGCCATGTGTTATGCTACCGACTCGCTCAGCTTGAAGGTTGAAACAGCCGAAGAAACATGGACAGATGCTGAGGAACGCAACATCTGAGACAAATTATCAATCCAGTCCAAATTGCGCGTGAATATGCACCGTACAAACTGACCTTTCGTTAGAAAAAACTCAGCAAAAAGGTTTCGCCAAACGATGTGACAATTAGGCAAGAAACATGCACACTCATGGGTAGTGGTAAGAATTTAATGCTTTTGAAAAGCGTTGAACGTTTTCTCCGTAAAAATCTGATTACACTTTCCAGACGTTCGTAAAGATTTCCCGAACCGCTTCAAAGAGAAACATGTGACAAAACTGTGCATCAAAACACATCCCCCTTTGTGTGGGCCTGGCTAACTCATACCTTGTTTTCGTATGCGCAACGGAAACAAGTGGATTTTTACAAAGTAATCGAACCGGAAAACTCTCGCAATCGAAGTGAGCCTGAGTGATGAGCGACGTTCTGTTTCGAACAAGTTACCGTGGCCATTATACACGATAAGGATAACACGGCTGCACGAAAGTTGACGCAGCTCTTTTTTTACTCGACCAAGCACTGTAAAACGTTGATGAAGAGGGGTGAAGTTTGTGTCCTCAAACAGGGCGGAAGTTCGGTTAGCAATACCAATACAAGCGACCAGCTCAACTGGAAGAAGTCAATCAAAAGAATAGGCTGGACCGGACATTGATGCGTGAACTTCATCTCTGCAAGCTTTAAGAAATATTTACTCAGCTCCTTCACCGAAGAACGCAGTAACTAGATACGGCTGGAATGTGCATACCATAATGAGCAAAAGCCCTTGAGCCTCAATCTGAAGTCCCACTCAATCACCGGAACGAAGGGTGCTTTAACCTGGTTGAAAGACTGTTAGTCGCCTGGATGGCAGATTTGCGCAAACCTGAACCGCACATAAAAACAAATAAGTTGAAACGCATCCATCGACTTCGGCTCCTCCAAGAGAAAATTTGGTCAAGTGTTGTTCGTCTACTGGTGATAAGATCCGGAAGTATAATGAATGTATGTGAGATTCAGTTCACAGTCTTAAAAGAACCGGGAATTCGGTGAGTGTCTAGTGCACGAGTAAAATGGATGAATTCAACCGCAACAGAATTCAAACAACCGAACATGTTTAGCTCATTTGGGGGTCAGGAAACCTATCCGGAGCATTCCAGTAGTGTGAGGTACGAAGTTGATATTCTGGGCCATGAGACCATGCGAAAATGAAAGAGATTATGAGTACCAACATATTTCACACCGAATTCACAGTATTTATAATTTGGTTGCAGACATCCAGGCTCTTTGTTACTCGAGGATCATGGCCATAAAATGTTTAGAGCCCAGTAAAACAACACAGATGCCAAAATCATATCCAAATGTTGAAGAGTACCGGCGCTCACGAGGACCCCGGTGGTAGATACATATTCCGCGACGAGTAATGTTAGTATAGACAGTGAGGCGAAGTAGCTCAATGGTTAGAGCGCGAATTTACTGACCAGAATGTTTGTGGTTCGAACCTGACCTCTGAATCTCGACTTCACCTGTCTAAGCTTGAGCAACCTGACAGTATCCCAGCCCACGCGCTTCCTTCGGGTGGTATGGCAACTACGAACCCAAATGGTGCTACAACTGAAGGAGTATAAGCAGTACGTCGTTGCGATTCCTGTCTAGAGTTCTCCTAAAACTGAATTAGCCGATGGTAAACAATCTAGTTCGTGCCGGCAGCTATCTAGAGGAAGTAGGAAAGCGGCGAACAGTGTAATAATCTATGCACTCCACACCTCAGGCCCGAGTGAATGGACTCATCAGAATAATTGTGAACACGCGAAACACGAGAATTGTCTGTCTGGTGCAGAGGACAGCTCCAACAACACACATTCCATTGTGTGATAGGTCACCAGGCTAAATAGATTTTGCTGATACGGCTGCATCACATCAACTATCGGGTCAGTCAGAATATGAGAGTGCATTCGCAAGTGATAGTTTTGATTTGCCCACGACACAGACAATCAAAGGACAAACGCACTAAAGTAGACGGTACATTAAGGAGCTGTCACACAAGCGACATTCCAGCGTTTTGTTAGGAAAAATTGATTCCCGACCATCCTGAAATTGCTTTCCCCAAAGATGTGACCGGCTATCGAAGAACTCAGGCAAGCCAAGCTCCACAAGTAGTTAGCAATGTTATGCAATGTAGGTAGTAACAGAATTGTCTTATATTGCTGTTCGGTCTCAGACCAGAGTTTGATTTGTTTTGTAATGAAGTTGCATCGGAAACTGTGGGTGAACGCAATACCATCAGACAGAAAAAAACAAGACTTAGGAAAACCCGATTACTTTAGCAGCTATTACAGAGAGGTTGTCGTTGATGGGCGGAAATTTAATAAGCCAAATGGATAGGGGACAATGAGGCAAACACATCCCCACATATACTGCACGCATGATATCATTCCCAATATCAAGCAAGTTGACTGAGCACTACAACTCGTAATGATGAACACGACATGTAGGATGGAAGAAAATTGGCATTTTGTGACGATAGCAAATTGGTAACAGGAACTTGAGCTCGTCAAAAGTCGCCTGATAGTGGTAAGGGATGGTGGAAACAAAATGAAGCTACGCGTTCGAATATTTTGCATAAGCTTGCAAAACTCAAGTCGCCGATCGCTTGTTTTTAGCAGAGAAGCAACACTATAGACCGTTCGGATATTTTTGCTATGGTCCAAAGGAACCGAAGAATCCGAGGGCGTCAAATAACAGAAAATACAGACGAATAAAAACAATCCATTAATTGCCGCCCCCTCCCACCTCTGTAGTGAACGGCCCCCTCCCCTGTAGTGAACGTCAGATTCTCACTATTGTCTCTATAAAATGAGTCAATTCTAGTATGGTGGAAACGGGGATAGCAGGAGGGGGTGGGGCTATGCCACCATACAATTATACACACACGCAAACCAGATACTTCTCAAGATTAAGTGTTTGAAATTCAATATAAAAATACGTATTCCCTCTGAAAAAACAAGCGCGGATTCTGTAGGGGCTATGACTATGCGCGTCCACACACACACACACACACACACACACACAAGACACGCAGAAACTTCGGCAATGAAACGAACGACTGGTTGATGGGAGAACCGATTCGGAACTTCAAGATACAGATAGCGACGTACGTGACACGGTCCGTTTTTGACCGTTAGCTGAACCAAGGCCGGTAAAATTCTGAGACGGACGTCCGAAACGTTTTTCACCGTGAAACGACCTTCCGACAGAAGAGATCAACTTTCGGCGTTCTCACTATTAGCAAGATTTCGTCTCATAATGCCAACTCGCTTTGTACAATGACAAACGATCTAACGACAGAACTAAATGAGACTTGTTAAAAACTGTCTAAGTCAAAGTGCATCAAATCGATCAAAAGGAGCACGAACCATGCGCTTTGCCATTTTTTTATAGTGATGTTTCCATTATTCAGTTCGGCCTGCCGACAAGATGGGAGGACGGCACCACGGAAACAAAAAACGTGAACTACGACTACATGGATGAACGGGAAGCTGATTCCCTCGAGTCTATCCACGCTAAAAATGCCTCGAAGTGGCTTAAGACGACGCATTCTGACCGCGGGGACGCTAGTCACTGTAGGGTGGTCTCAATAAGTTAACCGTCGAAATTCACAGTATCAATTGGGTTTGAAAGAGATGACAGTTTCCGGGATGAAACGAACAACACTATACACTCACGGATATCGTCGCCAAAACTAGGTCCGTTCACAGGGTGGTGAATGAATTATTCTAGTATTCTTTTTGGTCCAAAGTTGCACAGTTGTTGTTGCTGTACCCTCAAAGGGGTTTAAAACAGTCACGGATTGCTTGCTGATTCAGTTAGCTAACGAGAATGGTGGGTCGAAACAAGTGCAAATCACAAACTGCACAAACCGTCCGGCGGTGCCCAGAGAACTGCGTTTCACTGCATCCATTACTGCGGTTAAGTAAATTGAGTGAGAAGTTTCGTTTTCTGGTGAACGGCCACAGAGAACATACCGATACTTTTTTGGGAAAAAGGATTATATTTAAGTAGTGACTGACAGTGGATAAGTTATTGATCATCCTCGGTTGGACATACTGTGAGAAAGAATCGTATCGAAAACGGACCCTTCGCGTGACTCGACTGCTTTACCACACTCGCATACTTGAGATAGCAGTTTTCTTGTTTCCGTCATTAGAACAAATTTTGATGTGATCAAAAGTTCAGCTGATCACGTCTACTCCGGGGTTATCGTTCTCAATGCATCTGCGACCACACCCGACGGTAAACAGTGGTAAACATCCGTCCCGAAATTGCGCCGAATGGCTGAAATGATTGTGGCTCTTCGGATCTGTCAGCACCTCCGGTCAACTATTCAGCTGACTAAAAGACGAGCTCCAGGGAAACTCTCGAATAAGCCCCGCAGCACAGCACACTATAATGAACACAGAAATCCCCGCACGTATGCACTGGTCCGTATTTATTAGAAGGTAGCTCTAATCATACCGTGACAAACCATTTAGCAATGAGGGATTGGACAGAAAGACATGAGATTGATTACGAAAGTTTAGCGCCTCCCGCCCGGTCAACTTTTACCGACGGAGTCTATCTCGGGACCTCTGCCAGTTTCTAACTAACTTATCCTTGTGTACCGAAGATGTGAGCACCAATTTATGTTTGGAGCACTTTCCCAATTTTGTTTTTCTCAAAGATGTAAGACTGGTATTGCTGAAAGTAAGTCACTAGTCATTCAGACCTAGTTAGTGAACCTGTGGTCAAAAGACCACTTGCTACCCAAAAGTCAT